TTTGTACGCCGATGATCAAGTTATCCTTGCGTCATCGGCGGCCGAGTTACAAATGATGGTCACATTAATGAACAGATCATTAAAAGAAAGGGGTATGAAAGTGAACGCAAGTCAGACGAAGGTTATGGTTTTTGAAAGAGAAGAAAGTAAAACGATTTGTGAAATAAGAATAGAAGGGGAGTTGATCGAGCAAGTAGACGAGTTTGTATATTTGGGCTGCGTATTTAGCAGGGATGGGAGATATGATAAGGATATAGAACGACGAGTGAATGCGGGAAATAGAGTAAATGGGGCCCTACACTATATTGTGAAGAGTCAAAATGTGTCGAAAAAGGCACGCATGGCAATTCACAATGCTGTGTTAGTCCCTACTTTAACGTATGGTAGTGAAAGTTGGGTGTGGCAGAAGAAGCACGAGAGTAGAAATGAACGCAGTATAAATGCGGTCGTTAAGGAGTATGTTAGGGCTGAATCTGAATGACAGGGGTAAGAAATTTTGTAATAAGAGAAGAGTGTGGTTTGCAAGATGATGTTGTGACCAGGATTAAGAAAGGAATGCTTCGGTGGTTTGGTCATGTGGAAAGAATGGATGAGGAAAGACTGACAAAGAAAATTTATGTTGCAGAAGTGAATGGCATAGTCGGAAAGGGACGTCCTAGGAGAAAATTTATCGACCAAATTGGCGATTTATTAAAAACGGGCCAAATTAGGAGTACCCTTAACCGAAGAGCATGTATGCGTAGGTGTATGGATGTGAAGGAGGCGAGAGAGGTGTGTCAGGATCGTGCCAAATGGAAGTCTGTAGTCTCTGCCTACCCCTTTGGGTGACAGCGTGAGTGTTTATGTATATGTATGTATTTAATATTCCCGAAGTTTCTATTATATCTTAATAGTTGTATGTTTCATTAAAATGTGTAGTGTTTTTTATAGATCGAGGGTAACAAACGAGTGAAAACTCACTCCACCTAGTAGTAAGTGAATGCTGTGGCTTATAGACATTTATCCTCGATTAAGAATCAAAAGTCAGCTATATTATGGATGTAGCATGAACAAATTAATCATAACAAATTCATATTCAATTGCGTAAACATAACAAAATGATTCCTACTTTGACTTAAATAAACTAATATATGCTTTTAATCACAGACCTTAGTACCACTCGTTCTATGCCGTGTTGTCCAAATACAGACGGTATAATAATAATTAAAATAATATTTTTCGTTTCCTTGGTGTTTGACTTAGATTTCTATTTCCACGAAATAAATATTAAAGAAGTCCAAAAGAAATGTCAAATATATGAACACCCCTTAGATAATATACTTATACTATATAAGGGCTGCTTATATAGAGATATAAACAGTCCTTAGATAGATTAGATAATAAGCACTCACGCTTCTCAATATGTCGCCAATTTGGTCGATTACATTTTTATCTAGGGCGTCCCTTCCCAACTCTTCCGTTCACTTCTGCAACATAAATTTGCTTTGTCACTCGTTCGTTCATTCCTTCTCGTTCATTCCTTCCAAACCCTAAACTTCTTCCTCAAACCACAACCTCCAACTTCCCAAACCACCAAAGCATTCCTTTCTTAATCCTGGTCACAACATCATGTTGTAAACGACACTTTCTCTTATATTATGTAATTTCTCACCCTTTCTATTATATTAGACTGTGATTAATAAACAAAATTACTAAGTCAGTTTAGTATGTTTTATGCTAACGTATTACATAGTAAAAGTATTAAATAAATCTTCTTTTATTATAAGACTTCTATCAAAAATGTGATTTCTTTCATAACATGAATTTACATTCGTCACAACGGTTTGGAATGTTATTACAGAAATATGTGTCAGATCATCACGCATTTTATAGGTTATTTGACTTAGTCACCTTCTAATTATAAAAATGAAAGGTTTTCAGAAATACTATTTCAGAAACAAGCTATACAAATGTTTGTTGAACTTCGCAACGCTACGCCTGAAATATTACACATCCAGCAGAAAGTTAGTGTGTAGTATAGTGAGTGTGTAACAATGCGGTTCGTGACAAAGGGTTCGCGTGAAATAGTTTATTGTGTAATTCAACGTTAAACAGAAATTAGCTTACATCATAAAAGTAAGAAATATAAATCGTAGAGTGGAACTACACGTATTAAAAGATTTATTTGAAAATAATGTCAAAGGTTCAAACTAAATGTAATAAGAATTTTGTTTTATATTAATATGATGTTCATCTGTTATATTTTATGTTTTTCGGCGATTTTAAAACAGGAGAAAGTTCTAAATTTAACAATTTTTTTTTGTATGTGTGTATACGACGTATATCTGTCTATTATGAATCGATTTTAATAATTCGTTTTTAATTACGTGTTGCCTCAAAAGTATTTTCATATAAAATTGAAGAAAATTTCACTCCTAAGAAAAAATAGTGTATAAAGTTTTTAATGTAACCATTTTGACGACACACTAGATGTTACCTAAAGTTTCAAAGGGCAAAAAATATAAACTTTACTAAAAGTCAAAGCCGACTTCAAAGAACTAAAAGGACAAAACAATTTCACATTCTCAAGTCGGAGCTCGAATTTTTATATACACTATGCCTTAGCACCGAATGCGAAATTATATTGTTCTTTCTAAATCGGCTTGTACTTTTTATTAAAACTCTATTTTTCAGGTCAATGTATGGTGCCAAAATAAAGTGCTTCTTTATTTCTTACTTCTTTTGTAAGTTTCAAAGTTAGTTTTATTTTTTATAACAATTTTTCAGAAATAATAGACTTACTTAATAATAAAACACAATAAGGTGTTAATTTACACCCTTCTTCAAAAAATAGCTATGATAGCTGAATTGTGACAAAGCAGATTTTCTTGAAAACTAGCAAAACAAATACTAGTCTGTTATTTTTCAGTAGCTTAAGGTTGAAATGTTTTTAATCATGTGACTTCTATTTACTTAACACTTCAAAGACAACTAGTTTCTTACATATATTATGTATCTTTTTTTTATAAAAATACGACAGAATATAATATAATGAATGCCGATTTAAATAATCAACATGAATAAAAATTGAAAAAATCTTTTACATATTAAAATCACTTTATACATGTACATTTGAGTACGCGTAAAAGTAAAAATGCACTTATGTACGTTAACGTACATAAGTACATTTTTTGATAAAGTAAATAAAATATTTCTATACTTTTAATATATTTTCTACTGTTAATATTGAAATTTGAATTCATTATATTACAAGAAAAAGGCTACCACGTGGTGGCAGCGTAAGGTTATCCATCATAAGAGTCAATTAATCGCAACTATGAGAAATGTCAGAAATAATTCATGACGTCCGATAAACAACCGTCTACAGCAGACGTAAAATATTCAGACTGACGCTGTGCAGTATTGCCAAATATAGTACGAGAAATCTTGGTAATACGAGTGTCAAATTGTCTGCCAAGCTTTAAGTCCATATCCTGCTATAAACTTTTAGGGGCTGATGAAGAAGGAGATGATATTACATGTGTAAAGTAACCGCCTACTTATTACCTAAGGCGGGACACATCTATCCAATTGTTTCTGAGAAAGAAAAGGCAAAATACTCATGTTTTACTCTATTTTACGATTTTGCCAAGCCTCGTGGTGTCACAGTCACTTTGACTTAAAGTGATGGAGACAGCACGAGACTTAACGGCATCAAAAGTGAGAAGCGTTTGAGTACTTGAGCAACAGAACATCTCTAATTTCACCATGTTGCCCCAATACCACACTTTCCATAACTTTTTTTTTAGTCATACATCTTCCTTCACGATGTTTCGTTCACCGCTCAGAACGTGGTAGGTCAATACGTAAAATTGTGATTAACACTACGGTGGGTATAAAATAACTGCTATTAATCTTTTTATAGCAGTTATTAAATTAAATTGAAGGAAAATCGTCACACAAACTGGTTAGTTAATAAAATAAATCCAAACTTTAGGAAGACATGCTCGCAATAAAGCATTTGCTAACGCAAGAGTTATAAAAAAATCAATCCTATACCTTTAAACGAGCAATTCTTATATATATATATATATATATATATATATATATTTATTATATATTTTATATATATATATATATATATATATATATATGTATATATATATATATATATATATATATATATATATATATATATTCGGAATCTCGGAAACGGCTCCAACGATTTTCATAAAATTTTGTGTGCAGGGAGTTTCGGGGGCAATTAATCTAGCTAGCATTTATTTTTAGAAAATGTCTTTTTTGTCTGTGTTTTTAGGCAATGAAAAACTGCTACAATATCGTTAGAATAAGAAGGTAAATTTTGACAATTTATTAATGATTAGCTTAATATACCAATTATAGCTTAATTGGTATATTGGGCGGTCACAAAATCGTAATACCATGGTTCGAGCCCAGTCCGACCAACCAACATTTTTTAATTTTTTTTTCAAGTTCCGTTCTTTTTTGCGAAAGTCTATTTTTTCGAGCCCTTTTTTAGTATTTTTTAAAAACACGAAAATTTTAATTAAACTAATTGCACTTCCAGTCGATTCAGCCACCCTGCAAGAAGATGCCATGATAGCGGCTTTAAGGGAGGGAGCCCAAGCGCAGATGGCGCTCGCCAATGCGCAGACAGAGGCCGCTCGGTATCTTTGCGATTGCATAATGCGTGCCGCTACCATGTTCGTCGAAGCGATCAATAAAAATAAATAAACTATTTTTTCGAAATTAAGTTTTATATTTAGTAGTTTTATTATTAATTCTTTAATTTAAATCTTTAATTAAAACACATCATGCAAAGTATTGTCTTGTGATGTTATTTCGAATATTTCTTGCCACATTTAAAAAATTCATATCCCTGGGAGGATCATCTGCTGGCTGCAATCTGTCTTCGAGTTGCAATTCATCTGGTAAAGGTTAATTTCTCTTAATTGCCACGGTATGGAGAACAACTACAGCTGCTATTATTTTAGATGCCTTCACGGGGTCATAATGCAACGTCCTGTGCTTGTGAATGCATCTAATTCCTTACGCATAAATGCATACGCATCAGCATACGGGGTCATCAGCCAAGGCAGTTGGGCATATCCAGAGTCTCCTAGAAGCCATTCACCAGCTGAAACTCCGTTAACATAATTGGTTTCTAATAATTGGCTCAAACTGGATCCTTGCCAGACCGCTGCATCATGTGTTGATCCAGGAAAAGTGGCATTGAAATGAATTATTTCCATCTTTGCATTACATACAAATTGGCAATTAAGACTATAAAAGCCTTTGCGATTAAAAAATAATCTCGCTGGCACAAGTGCTGTGTCTTTTGGGCGAACAATGGAGATTTGACTACAGTCTATCAAACCCAAGACTGAAGGAAACCCAGCTATCTGTAAAAACCTCTGTTTATTTTCTGCCCTTTCCTCTTCAGTCTCTGGAAATCGCACCATACCGTTCAATAAAACAGTTATAATTGCATCAACAACTTTTTGTAAGCATTTGCTTACAGATGGCTGACTTAAACCTAAATACTGCCCCTGCCCAACCGTTGTTTGGTAGCCGCCATGTCCAAAGAAATGGAGTGAAGCCAAAACTTTGATATGCACAGGAATTCCGTGCTGCCTTTGTCGATTTAAATTCTGGTGAAGACACTCCACTAAAAAATGCGCAGTTCTTTTGGAGAAAACCTTTGCAGGCACGTCGAAAGGGTTGGAATAGTCCCGAATATGGCGATGCGCTATCCTTCTCGCAGCCCTACAACGAAAAAAGTTAGGTTATATTATGCTTATACCTACCGTATGCAAAAAAAGCAGTTTCTATAATATAAATTTCGTACTCATACCGTTGCCGTTCCTCATTGTGTCTTCTTTGAATGATAGCCCAGCCATAAGGAAACATTTTTCACTATTTTCTGAAGAAACTTAGCTTACGTACGGACTAAATAGGTGCGAACTTAAAGAATAACACTTCCTAGACAAATAATTTAATTTAAAGCAAACGAACTGTCAAATTGTCAGAAACGGAATAGCAAAAGACATGCGTAGATATAATTTAAGTCCGAATTGGACATAAATAGTGTTGTGGACGTAATTAATTACCAAACGCAATAGCAATAATATAAGTACGAATTTTAGACTAATTTAAGTCTATTATTCGGCATTATTTAAGTGCGCCAAAGAAACGCAATCGGACCCAATGTCAATAAAACGCTCAAGCGTCTCAATAAAAACGCGGCATTCGTTGTTTTCTTGGGATCAAAAGAAGTGTAGTGAGCGTTGATTTTGTTATTTTGACGTTGTTCTATTTCTCATTTAATATTTCTTTAAAGTTCTCCCTGGCATTATTGTTGCAAAATAAAATATATTATTGGTGTATTCGGCCATCGTTATTTCGTGTCATCACTTCAGGCAAACGAACTTGTAAATATATTATCACGTATTCATTAATATTGAAATACATTATTTACACAAAACATTATTTTTCGGAATCTCAGGAATAAAATATAAATATATTTAATTAAAATATTTGGTTTAAATATAAGGCAGTTGTCACCTGTCACTTTTCTTTATTTTTTTTTTTGTTACTTATTTACTTTAATTTTTAATTAAAGTACCCGGTTGACCGAGCGTTGCTCGCTATTTTTCGCTCGGTTTTTTTTTTAATTCGTATGTTTTGGAAATTATATTTAGATACAAATTACATACTGATGAAATACAAATAATATTTTTTGATCTTAGCGACATAATAGAAAAAACTGAACTGGTTATTTGAATAAAAAAACATGAGTGCAATTAGTTTAATTAAAATTTTCGTGTTTTTAAAAAAATACTAAAAAAAGGGCTCGAAAAAAATAGATTTTCTCAAAAAAAGAACGGAACTTGAAAAAAAAATTAAAAAATGTCGGTTGGTCGGACTGGGCTCGAACCATGGTATTACGATTTTGTGACCGCCCAATATACCAATTAAGCTATAATTGGTATATTAAGCTAATCATTAATAAATTGTCAAAATTTACCTTCTTATTCTAACGATATTGTAGCAGTTTTTCATTGCCTAAAAACACAGACAAAAAGACATTTACTAAAAATAAATGCTAGCTAGATTAATTGCCCCTGAAACTCCCTGCACACAAAATTTTATGAAAATCGTTGGAGCCGTTTCCGAGATTCCGAATATATATATTCGGAATCTCGGAAACGGCTTTTTTTTTGAGAAAGTCTATTTTTTTCGAGCCCTTTTTTTTAGTATTTTTTAAAAACACGAAAATTTTAATTAACCTAATTGCACTCATGTTTTTTTATTCAAATAACCAGTTCAGTTTTTTCTATTATGTCGCTAAGATCAAAAAATATTATTCGTATTTCATCAGTATGTAATTTGTATCTAAATATAATTTCCAAAACACACGAATTAAAAAAAAAACCGAGCGAAAAATAGCGAGCAACGCTCGGTCAACCGGGTACTTTAATTAAAAATTAAAGTAAATAAGTAACAAAAAAAATAAAGAAAAGTGACAGGTGACGACTGTCTTATATTTTAACCAAATATTTTAATTAAATATATTTATATTTTATTCCTGAGATTCCGAAAAATAATGTTTTGTGTAAATAACATATTTCAATATTAATGAATACGTGATAATATATTTACAAGTTCGTTTGCCTGAAGTGATGACACGAAATAACGATGGCCGAATACACCAATAATATATTTTATTTTGCAACAATAATGCCAGGGAGAACTTTAAAAAAATATTAAATGAGAAATAGAACAACGTCAAAATAACAAAATCAACGCTCACTACACGTCTTTTGATCCCAAGAAAACAACGAATGCCGCGTTTTTATTGAGACGCTTGCTGGTGATTCATCGTACAAAATAATATAATACGATAAACAAAGCTCGATAACTAGGTTTTTATTTTAATTTTCAAGATTTTGATTTATACTAAATTATAGACTTTTGAGTGCTGTAGATATATTTTAAAATTTTTAATTTTTTACTTTATTTATGAATATTATCGATCCGATACATTCACAGCCGGATTTCCTACGGTGTCAAAATTGTACCGACGGTAGGCTTTTTAAAGGTAAAAAGGGATTAAATATACACATTAAACGATGCCATAGTAAAAGTATTTCGGCTTCACAGCCTACCGTAGAAATTCATGACTCTTCTTGTAATATACTTAATGACACAAATTCTTCACTTTTTTCGGAACAATTATACAATTTGTATAGTAACGTACCAGTGGTTAAAAGAATTTCCAGAGGTGCGAGGATGCAACTTGCTAAAGCATTATCATTCATTATTCAAAATTGTCTAACGAATTGTGAAAAGAGTTGGCAAAAAATTATTTACATTCGCGTATTCCCATTTACATTTTAATAAAACAATAAATAAATCAATTACTTCTCAACTAAAAGAAAATTCTTTTTCAAAATTTGGATTACCCGATTAATACTCATTTCTCTCGACCTTATCATAAATTTGATTTAAAAAAAGTAGTTGAATCAAAAGTAATGGACGGCGACTTAAAAAATGCATCCCGTATTCTATTCTTAGATGACATCTTCGCTCCTCGCAATGTCGAAACTCTTGAAGGCCTTCGTCAGAAACATCCTTCGGTCAATCCTTACCAGAATTTACCGCTGCCTCCCAATACTTCTATGAAACCTTTACAAATTTCTGAAAAAGACACTTTAGACGCAATATTGTCATTTTCGAATGACTGCCGGCGGCATTAACGGGATTACGCCTCAGCATCTTAAATATCTTGTAAGCGTATCTGCCGGTGACGCCGGTAGGGTACTTCTTAATGACTTTACAAAATTATGTAATTTTATGCTTTCTGGTAATGTCAATCCCAATTTCATTCCCTACTAATATGGGGCAAGATTGTGTGCCTTCAATAAAAAGGATAACGGTATCCATCCTATTGCTGTTGGTTCTACATTTCATTTTATGTTGATAAATTATATATTTTAAACCCCCACCCATATTGCCCTTACCATTTTAAAATATTGTCTCCTTGTACCTAAATTTACGTACTTGTTACGCTCAAGTCCAGTCTGGAAATGTTCGGATATTTTAAAAGATATTGATAGTAATCTTAAAATTGCTTTAGACAAAATTCTAAATTTAAGATTAAATACAATAGCCTGGAATCACCTATCAAATTTGGTGGTATTGGTGTAAGAAATATTTCTAGCGTCGCATTGCCTGCTTTCCTTGCTTCCGTGCATAGTTTCAATGATCTATGTAACACAATTTTAAATAATAAACTAGACCTGTGCTTTGCTGCGGAGGCAAGGCAAACATGGCTAACACACTGTCCCGGCGAAAATGTCCCACTGGAAGTTAACCAACAAAAACAGTGGGATATTCCGTTGGTACGGAGTGTCCAGAAAAATTTATTTCAAAATTTCTACAGTCAACAAGATCAGGCTCGCCTTCTAGCTGTTTCGACTAAGGAATCTAGCCACTGGTTACATGCTCTACCATCAAGTAATCTCGGCACATTTCTTGGGGAAAGCTTGCGCATCGCCGTAGGCATCCGGCTAGGGGTGGCAATTTGTCAACCTCACCAGTGCCCCTGTGGTAGCAGCGTCGATGAGTTTGGGCTCCACGGACTTTCATACAAGAAAAGTGCAGGTAGGTTTTCCCGTCACGGTTCTTTGAACGAAATCATCCGAAGGGCTCATGTCTCCATAAATGTCCCCTCGGTTTTAGAGCCTTGCGGGATATTTAGAGACGATGGCAGGAGACCCGACGGTATGACTTTGGTCCCTTGGGAGAGAGGTAAAGCCCTAGTGTGGGATGCTACTTGCGTTGACACTTTGGCGGCCTCTCATCTCAAGGGTACCACTTTTAGAGCCGGGGCGGCATCAGAGGCAGCCGAATTTAGTAAATGGCGCAAATATGAGTATTTGAGAAATGACTACATATTTTCGCCATTTGCTGTAGAGACTATCGGTCCGTGGGGTCCGCGTGCAGTGAAGTTTCTAAAGGAACTGTATCCACGACTGGTCATCGCTGCTGGTGATAAGAGGGCTGGTTCTTTCCTCGCTCAAAGGCTAAGTATAGCTATTCAGCGAGGAAACGCAGCCAGCGTTCTTGGCACTATACCACGGGGAGGTCTTTTTGACTACATAAATTTTTAGTTTTAGATTATCTATATTATAGTTACTTCTTTTATATTGTATATAATTAGTTTTAATCGTAAATATTATAATTTTAATTATTATTTTAGTTAAATTTATTATTATAATTTTTGTAAAATAAATGAATACATATTTAAAAAATAAGTAATCATATTTAATGAATGTCTAGTTATTGGGTGCGTTTGGCAGAAAAAAGCGCTAGCAAGCGCTTACAAGCGCTAAAATAGTTTTCGGCCAGGACACGATTGCTACTTCAGTAGCGCTGACACAATCCGCCATTTTGCTTATTTAAGTTGTTTTGTGCAATATTAGTTTTAAGTAATATAATGACATGAATAAACATATACATGTTATTAAAAATTCATGATTGGTAAGTTTTTAATATGAATACTTTACAAACATATATTTAAATTAAGTTAGATTCCCCGGTTAAAACTAACATCGTGTCCTGGAGGAAAATAGCTACTTACGATTTGACAGCGCTTACGCGCTTAGCGCTTTTTTCTGCCAAACGCACCCATTTTATAAACGAAACCGAAGGGTTGACATTTGACATAAAAGATTATTAGGAGTGTTGTCACAGAATTATTATTCAATATTATATTCGCTTCATTTGGCCTACTTTTTTGAATATAATAAAATAGACTGATTTTATTAAATATAGATTATTACTTACACGTGCTCAACGATGAAGAAAGACATGAGGAAACCTGCATGTCTGAGAAATAAGGAAGA